TGGTTCGCGCGGAGGAGCGGACGGCGGATCCCGGCGATCCTCGACGCGGCGGTTTTCGGCGTCCACGGCTCGTGCGAGTGCGAAATGGGAGCGGGGATAGGCAGCAGGGGTGCGCGCGGGGTCACGGCACCCTTTTTGTAGAGGCCGGGCGCGGGGCGACGCGCCCACGATGCCAGGAGCGGGCGGCGGTTGCGGCTCGCGCGACAGTTGCGTTAGGATGGAGATGGCGCCGACAGGTGGGGCCAAAGCGGTCGGTCGGTGGGCAGAGGGAAAGCAAAGTGCCTTGGCCAACGGTTAGGCCTGCGGTGCTAAGGCAGTAGCGTTATTTGGGCCGTCTTGATTCTTATTGCCAGCTGAGCTCTTTGGGAAGAAAAAGGCTCAGGGGGCAAACCGAGGAAGGAGGGAAGGGAAAGGAAATTTCTTTTTCTTTTTATTTTCTAGAGTTTTTCAAAAGTATTTTTTTTCAAATGGATTTGAATTCTTGTTTTCAAATTTGGTCAAACCAATCATCCCAAGAATGAATATGCAGCAACATGTATGCATCAAGAGGTTACTAACCTTGTAATTGATTTTAATTCCATAAAACTATTATTTCCCTAGGTTCAATGCTCACAAAAATTGCTTAAATAAATTAATTTGGCTATTTTAAAAAATGAAATTTTCAGGGTGTGACAACAACATCATTTCTTGAGAGCCAAATAGATCAACAGAAAAGTTGCTGCCATATTATAGTAATAAAAACTTGTTTTTTTTCCTTCCTATTTATATCAACCACCAAAAAAATTAGCACAGGGACTTCTCCATATTCAAAGGTGGAGTGATACCAAACACAATATGTAATGCCCACCAAAAAATTAGCATAACAACAATGTTGAATAGCCTTCGTGTCATACAGAAACAACATTGAGTGGATCCATGCAAATCCCTTCTAGCTAAGTTATCTTTTGTCAATATCACTCTCTTTTTGAGAAACCACATAATATTTTAGTTTTCAAGGCAACTTTCATCTTCCTAACTTCTTGTGAGACCTTGGTGCTACTATTAATTGGGTATCGATATATATATTATTGACCAAACCATGAAAAAAATTGTCCTTATTGAAGACTAAGTGGTGGTATATTTTCCATCCTCCACAAGGCGTGCAACTATATTAAAAAGCTACGAAATCTATTTTTAAGAGGCTAGTTCTCTAACCATTTATCTCCATAGAACCTGAGTTGGGTACCATTCCCTAACTTGAATTTTACTCGCGGTTCATGAATTAGTCATTCACCTCCATTAACCATGTCCAAAATTGAGAATCTTCTCGTTTTTACTTGCTTGGGTAAAAATCTATTCTTTAGATATTTATTTATCAGTAAGTTTTGCCAAACTCCCCTCTTGTTAAACAGTTTGAAAAAACACTTACTCAGTAGACATTTGTTTTTGAATGTCTAGATTTTATAACCCCGAACTGCATTGCTCCTTCGGTTGGCAGGCTAAGTTCTATTCTGCTAATATATATTTCTTTTCATGTTGATTGTTATGCCAGAAGAACCCTAGACCAGACCTGAAATATTTTATATTCTTGAGAAGCCCTCTAGGTATACAAACTACAAAGAAAAAAGGAATAAACATAGGTAGATTTGACGTAACCATAGGTACTTAGAAAAGTCAAAATGTCTTGTAATTTAGAATGAAGAGAGTAGCAATCTAGGAAGGATTAAATGATTCCAAACAAAAAATATGTGAGATGGCATGATTACCTGTCGATGGCACTATGGCAGGGCCTCTGCTTCTGGTGCTGCCATTCTTGGAGGAACAAGAAAACAACACAGGCCAGTCCAGTTGCTTGAAACAGCAGTATCAGAAGGACATCTTGGTTGATCCACCAAGACAGTGTATCTGAAGAAATTATTAAGGATCAGAGAGGCATTGAGATGAGCAGTAATACGCTCTAGTCTATGGAGTACAGAAATCTAACTCAAATCGGCAGAACAAAAAACAGGACAGGGTTGTGTAGATAGCTCGATCGGGATCTAACAGGATTCAAAGGGAGACATCGCTTACACCCGGAACGGAAGATGAAATTGTAATATTGGTAGTGGATCTTGCGCGTCGTCCTCTGCCCTGCGCTGCTGCACTCTTGGAAGCTGACGCTGCAGGCACCACCGTCGACCACGGCCACGGCCTGCATGAGGTACGGGCAGAGGCGCTGCGCCTCCCGGAAGGCCAGCGCGACGCAGGCGCCACAGTCCGGCGAGCTCGCGCCTGGCCGCCAGTAGCAGTACGCTGACGCCGTGACCTGGTCGGGGGGCGGCGGCCGGCGACGCTGCCGGCAGAGCAGTTGCAGGGGCTGGCGTTCACCTCGGCGGCAACGGTGGTGGCGAGCCGCCGTAGGGTTGGCCTCGTAGGCGCTGCCAGGCGCGTACCTCCTGCCCTGCGTGCCGCACATGTGACCGGGCCGGAGGATCAGGCGACGGTCGACGACGGGCTCGACAGTGTTGGCTGCCAGCACCGGCAGTAGTACCGCCGCCGCCAGCGCGACGAGCGCCACGGCGCGAGGCATGACCGGAGGAAGACAGCGGCTTTTTTGTTCGATTATTACCAAATGAATGCTGCTCTAAATCTGGCAATTAAGCAAAGCATGGTGGATTAGTTGAGATGAGCTCAGAGAGTCGTTGCTGACGTAGTTGATTACTAACTCTCCCCCCTCTCAAGTCAGGTATATGGCTGTCAAGCACATGTACACCTGGGTTATGCTCCCGATCATCTTGGAATTGACCATTGACACTTTCAGTCTGCACTGCCCATGTGAGAGTTGTGAGGTCCTTGAGGCCATCATTTCAAACCAAAGAAGGTTTTTAATGGACTTGTAATCAGACGGAGCGTTACCCGAAATGATAAGATAATACTCTTAGACTGCATATAATGTATATCTCCATTAAGCAAAACTTGATGTTTCAGACAAGACAAAAATCATCGTTTGAAGAAACAAGTTTACTGACTATAGGTACTAGTACGTTATTGTTGTCTTACCTGTGCACAAGCATTACCTGTTCGCTTGGCTGATAAGTCATGGTTGAAAATACTGTTGACTGATTTATTATGAGAGAAATATATTGTTCATTGGCTGAAAAAGTACAGTTTATAAGTCAAAGCATAAGTTGGATTTGGCTGCCCGAATTCGCATAAAGAGATAGAGCTTCATTTGGGGGGAAAGATATTTTGACACGAGTACCTGACTTGAAGTCATAGCTCGATTTGGAAAAATGTATTTTGACATGGGTAGCATTACCCTTATTTTTTGCAATTTGACCCTTTGCAATAGGTCACGGCGCCAAGGTAGGAGGTCCGGAATGATATGGCTGGCCATGTGGCGCTGACGTGGTCATAGCCCAACGCCACGGTTCGACGTGTCATGGCGCCGAGCTACTAACCATGTTGTTGCACGCGCCCCAATAGAGAGGAGAGGCGCAACAGTGTTTCGGCTTGTTTTTTCAGCGAAGCGAACGGGCCCAAGAGGGTTAAGATTTCTTGGTCTTTGTGAAAATTTCTTATGTGCCTCTAAAATTAGAACGGAGGGAGTATTATTTACTGTTAAGAGTAGAGAGAGCGAGACAGATCGATCGATGCAAAATGATGTCGGTGTATTGCATTGAACAGTGTTGTACATATATATATACAGAGTCCATGTGTGCAGTTACAAGTGTAAAAGAGATAAAGGGGTCAAAAGACACCTCTTGGGATTATTCCCTAATTGATCATACCTGTGTTACACAATTATTCTACATATTTTTTTCTCCTTATTTTAGCTACTCCTTCATTGAAAAATGAGGTCTATATTTAAATCAAGTCAATTCTTTATAAAATCAACTAAATTTATAAAAATTTAGGTGCACAGACCAAGAAGAGATTAATTGTGAGTTAAGTCTTCTCGTTTAGGTGCCCCAGCAATTTACTCTGCTTACTCACCGCTAAACTGCTCAACCCCCTCCCTGCGTGGCTGCATGCAAAGCCATTCAGGTGCAAAAGGCGTTCCCGAACCGGCCGCTGCATGCAGTTTTTGCGATTCTCCAAACGAAACGAGCAGATCAAAATACATATGCAGTTACAGAATCGGTATATTATTAATATGTACATGTTATGCTCTAAGCTTAAATGTGAACATGATAGGTGGGACCCACATTTTGGTAAATTTCTTTTTATAAAATATAGTCAATATTGGTCTTGATTTGTAGATAGAATTGTAAGGAGAACAGAGGTTCAATCAGATTATGAATTAAATATATGGTTTAATAACTATGGTGATCTAAAAATTCTTTCTTAATAAAAAGGAGTTACGTTTACCACCATTCCATCTAGATTCTGACGCCCGTGCATGCACTCCTCCACTCCCGCGCTGGTCTCTCGGCCTCTGTCCCCGTGGATCGCTGGTCTCTCTACTCTCCCTGTGGCGCGTGCGTGCAGCAGCTGGGCGCCTGGTCTCTCTGCCTCTCTCCCGTGGATACTGGCGTGCAGCAACAGGTCTCACTGCTCTCTGTTGGGCGTGTGCAGCAGCAGCTGGTGACTTCACTGGCACACAGGTCACCATGCACTGGCTGCTAGCTCGGCGCCATGACTGTGGCGCTGGCGTGCGTGAATCGTGGCGTTGAGCTATGGCCACGTCAGCGCCACATTTGATTTAGATCAGCATAGTTATTAAACCATATATTTAATTCGGACTTTCTACCTCGGCGCCATAAGTAAAATGGTTCAAAATCTGGTTTACGTCGTCCAGAGGGTAATTGTGAATAATTTAAAAAAAAAACTAAATTGTAAAAATTTAGGTACACTATCTTAGGTCCTCTTACTCTTTGAGTGATTTTTGTAATTTCTCATTTTTTTTAAGTTGTAGAGAATATGCAGGGTCGCATTTGATTACATGGACCAAACCATTGCATCATTACAAATGCAGAGCAGCAATAGTAATCCTAACCACAAATTACACAACTGAAACATCAGTGCCATAGATACATCCTTCACATAATGAGGCGTCGTGGTGACTCCAAAGCTTGATGCTTGCATCTTTCGCATTGCCCAGTAAAGTTCTTCAATTCCAACTTTTCATGCTCGGACATATAGCGTGTCAGTTCTTTGATATCTTGGCAAAAATCAAGGAATGATACATGATCCCCATCCTGCTGCAGCACTGCAAATTCTGAGAACATATAACATTTTCTTAGTTTCCATTTCTTGTTCACCATATGGGACAGACAAGTAATATAACATCATTCACACTATTTTCCTCTTAGCTAGATTATCTTTCTAATTGTTGCAGGGCCAGACTAATGGGGTTTATCTACAGAGGGGAAAGATCACTTACGCCCGGGGCTGCCGAGGCCCATGGTCTGCTCCATCTGTTGAACGTCATGGAAGCTGACGCTGCACTCGCCGCCGTCAACCACGACCATGGCCTGCCTGTGGTACGGGCACAGCCGCTGCGCCTCGCCAAAGGCGCGCGTGATGCAGGCGCCGCAGTCAGGCGACCAGCCCGCGTCCGGGCGCCAGTAGCAGTAGACCGAAGCGGCGACCATGTCGGGGCGTTCGCCGGCATGGTTGCCGGGCGAGCACTTGCAGGAGGACGCGTTCGCCTGGGCGGGCACCGTGGCGGCAAGCGCCCGCAGGTTGGCTTCGTAGGTGCTGTTGGGAGCGTACGTGCCTTGCGAGCCGCACTCGTGGCCGGGCGACGGAGCCACGCGGCGGTAGGCGGTGGTGGCCGCCGCCGCGGCCGCGGCCAGCGCCGGGAGGAGCGCGAGCGCCAGGACGACGGTCGCCGTGCAGGCGCGAGGCATGACGCGGTCTCGTGGAGAAAGACGAGCCGAGCCCTTCTTTTTGACCAAGGACAACGCGTGGTGGGGAGCCTAAGAATCAAGATATGATCGTAGCAGTTGGGACTGTTGACTAAGGTTCATATATTAAGGAGAGTCAACATCTACCAACTGCAAAATATTCTCAGCCACTGAGCATTTAAGCATATTCAAAGGTTCATATATTAAGGAGAGTCAACATCTACCAACTGCAAAATATTCTCAGCCACTGAGCATTTAAGCATATTCACTACTACTCCAAATTGTAAGACGTTTGACTTTTTTGACACCAAGTTTGACCACTCGTCTTATTCAAAAATTTGTGTAAAATATCACTTCTTTCGTCGTGGTTTGGTTTATTAATAAAAATTCTTCAAGAATGACTTAAATTTGACTATATTTGCACAATTTTTTTGAATAAGACGAGTGGTCAAACTTGGGGCCAAAAAAGTCAAACGTCTTACAATTTGGGATGGAGGGAGTAGTAGTCAGCACTAATTCATGTTGAACTTGACCATTGGTTGTGGATGTGACGATATTGTTGATTAGGGTAGAATGCATGCAAGGGCTATGATTTGTCCCACGGGCTTGCTAGCGTCCGGACCGCCGGGGTGTCCAGATGCCCGCGCCTGTAGCTATTTCCACGCCGTTTTGCGTGTTCACACGGGGTACACACCACCCGAACGTCACTAGCATCCAGAAAGAGAGGGGGGGGCAACGGATGCCTAGCCAGCTCCGGGAGAGGAGGAAACACTGAGGCGAGGCTCAAAAAGCGAGGAGGGAGGTGCAACATCCGATCTACTTCTGAAACATCCAGATGCAACACCTGCAACATACGTATAAAGGCATATGAAACACTTGAAATAAGCGTTTGAAACACTTGTGGGAAATACTTGAAAACACTTTAAAACCATTGCAAACATATGCAACATCTAGATGAAACACTTGCAAACATGCGTATGAAAACACCTGGAACACTTGAAACATATGCTTGTAACATGCATGCATATGCAACATCCAGATATACTTTTGCAACATCCAAATAAAACACTTGCAACATACATCTAGAACAGATGAAATATTTGGAACATACACTCGAAATATACGTGTATAGCCATTACAACATGTGCTACATCCTGATCTACTTTTGCAACATCAATATACAACACTTGCAACATACCTCTAAAACACTTGAAACATACTCTTGCAACATGCGCTTTCAGCGTAGCATCTGCTTGCTGCTTGGATGAATAGAGGCTCGTTGACGCGGAGCTCGATGCCATGAGTGGGGGATACCGGTAGGCGGTGGCTCACGTATGGCCCGGCGCGGGCCATTCTCGCGCTACTTCCCATGACCGTCCGCGCAGGTGCAGTCAGTGCGTGCGACGAGGCCGCCCGAGCCGTCGCTGGGCCTGCCGCCGCGAACCTCGTCCGCCTCGTCGAGAGCTTTGGGAGCAGGAGTCCCGCCTCTGAACCGAGCTGCTGGAGCACAAGATCCTCAAGGAGACCGTCGCCATCGTGTCGTTTCTCAATATTGATGTCGCGGCTCCAGGGCGAGAACGCGCACCTCCGTGCCGAGCTCGACGCCGCAGAGACCGACCAACAGCGTGTGGTTGAGTTGGAGAAGGAGGTGGCGAGAATCGTTTTCTTTTTTTGGAGGAACTAGGAGTAGACTTCGTATTGGGCTCTGCAAGCTCACAAAGGGCGCGTCCGGAGCGTCGGACGCCCTAAGGAAAGCATCACCGTTTGTCCTAGTAAGTAGCAACCACAATCACACGGTAGTAGGCAGGAAGAGCAAAACTCTTACTCTAGCCACGCTATTTGCACGGCAACCTTGTTAATTTTAACGGTGTAAAATAATTCAAATATTCTCTTACTTAGCAATTAGCATTCCATCAATTTTTCTATGAGTAACATATTCGCATCTCTAAATAAGTTTATTATAAAAATATATGTCACCATTAATCTAATAATACTTATTACGCATCATAAATATTAGTATATTTTTATATATATTTGGTCAAACTTCAAATAAAATTGACTCCTCGAAAATAAGATGTGCTGTTATTTTGAAACAGGGTACAGGTTATTTGCTCGGCTAAGTAGTGCATCGTAGAAAACTCCCGAGTTGAAATAATGCATCATTATTAACTTGACATCTTTTAGTAAAAAGAAAAACAAACTGACAAGACATGGTTTACATCCTTCGCAAAAAGGAAAATGAACCGAGTTGAATTTGATAAAATAAGGGTCGATGAAATGAGCCGAAAAACTTAAGTTGTTATAAACAAGAGCATAAAATAAGTCATTCACATTTAATGCATATCTACTATTTCCACTGAATTCTATGGAAAACAATACTAGGTTACACAAAAAAAATATTGATAAAAGATAACGGTATTGTGATTTTACATGCCGGCACTCTGCTGTACATACTTCTCGCTCCCTCAAACTGCGACTCATCTCAAAAACAAAAAAAAGAACACAGCAAGGCAGAGTTGATACAGAAAATTTTCAAGCCTCGGAATCAAACCTGTGTGGACCCTTGAATCAATGAAGGGCACTTGACAAAAACAAAAAGGAAAAAGCACACCTATGAATTGGAAGAATAAGAGAAACCTAGCAAAACAAATCCAAGCTAGGAAAAAGGGGACCGATCCAGGACAATGTGAAAATTGATGTGTCATTGTAGATGGTGATTGCGTTCTGCAAAATGACGGCAGTTGCCATGGGCTAATCAGATATAGAACAGAACTATTTTCACCAAATGGCCATTTGACCCAAGGATTAAATGAGACATTGGAAGTGTTGATGATCAGGCTAAAAAAGTTGAAGAGCAATTTTTAGCCTGCTCTGCTTCCACTTCGGAAGCTTGCTAAATGCTTCCTTTGTCATCCCAAACTTCTCTTTGAATTCAGTCGAAGATAAGTAGGTCTGCACACCAAATTGAAAATAATGTGACCATTACACTTTTTTTAGAACAAGAGAGTATTGTGAGATCAGGAAATCACCTCTCGCCTCGTGACGTCAATTTCAGTAACAGGATCAGCAGCTGTGGTCTTAAGACGTTCATACGGGTAAATAGGAAGGCCCTCGTCATCTTCTGGCTCGTTTTCTTTTACATCTTCATTTATAGTCAGAGATTCAACTCTAGTGGCCACAGTATCAACACCTTTACCATCTCCCTCCTGTTTTGGCTTCTCTGACTCAGAGCCATCTAATTTGCACAGAATTTTTTACAGAGAAAAAGTAAGCTACAATAAGTTTTATATTTCTATTTGCAAGAATTTCCGCCAGCACAGTGGTATCACATACCTTTCACGAATTCTGGAGCAGGAGTTTGAGAAGGGTGATCCAAAGAACCAGCCAAAGCGGCAATTGCAGATGACTTAGAAGAAGTATTTGACGAATCAGGTGTAACAGATTTCGGGTAAAGTTTCTTAACTACAGGTGGAGTGGAAAGATTTCTGTTGCTTGAACTTTCAAAATTAGCAGCCAATGCAGTGAATGCTGGAGATCTTCCCCTAACACGGACGCGCTCAGGGCTGAAGGACATGCTTCTGGAGCGTTGGGATTTATCTTGTGTAGTACTCCTTCCTGAATAGACGGTTGTTCGTCGTTTCGGTTTCTGAAAACGCATGAGAATCAACTGAGTTCTATCATTTATGTAAATACATGTTCAGCACGAGTTTCTATCATTTATGTAAATATGGTCAGTCATATAACTACAGGGAAAATGACATATGCAAACGTACAAAAAAGGGTGGCAGTGTAGAAATATATGTTGCATTGCAAAACATGACTGAAGAAATAACAGGCAATTCTCATAAAAAAAAGGCTTGGTGTTTGCCTGTTTGGTTGATATGAGAAGCAACTATGAACAGTAAAACTTACATATACAGCGAAAGAAACACAAGCATGTGTATCAAAGAACATGGAAAACTACTGGAAATCACACAAAGAAAGGAGAAATTTTGTTGTACTGTAGAAAAATGTTTGCAAGAAATGGAGTTAACAGATATATCGGCATGGACAACTATCGTGATTCATGAAATCATTAGGTTTCGGGAATCTTACATCCAATGCTGGAGCACCTTCACCTTTTACAATGGCAAGCTTCCTCTGGTATGAATTGCCATGCATCTGAAAACAAAAGGGAGAGAATATGGAGTCCAATACTATATCAAAGCATTGATCATGATGTTCTCTCTGTACGGACTTCAAACTGCTCAGATGTTCAAGAATAAACAATTTCAGTGGCTAAGCCTATGACTAATCTACTTACCAGTGATTTTGCTTGAGTCCCAGGTGAAGAATCTAGTGAAAAGGGAGGCTCACTCCCTCCATAACGGTGAAAATTGGTGTTTCACGGGCAAGGTTTTCCATAAGGAAATCAAGCACAATAAATTTCTGGTGAAAACGTGAAGTAATGAGAGAAGAAAACAAAAATGGGTTATAACGCAGCTCGTGAGAAAAATAAATTGTTACCTCCCCAACATCCAGAGCTTGTAACCTAACTTTAACATCCACCTGCTGACCAACCCAAACAAATATGCTCGTATGACAGTCCAGAATGAAAACATCTTCTGTCATTAGATCATCTTGAGTAAAGTGGTATATTTCTTTGACCTGCTCAATAGATTTCAAATACAGATTTTAAATGTAAGGTCGCATACAGCAAAAGATACTAAATTACAGTTCTACTGTGCTTACCTTCAAATTGCCTTCATGGACCCCAACAGGTTAGGAACATTAATAGGGAGAACAGCAGAACGAGATCAGTATGTATTTGAACTGTTAAAGTGGATAACTTTCCCAACAAAACTACTCAATCTACATTCTTGATTACCTTTCGACAGGATGCATGAGAAAAGATGGGGATCACTTTCAAGTTCTCGCACCATTTTTTGGCCTGAGTACTCAGATTTGCCTCCCAGTAAGCTCCAAAACTGGTCCGTTTCTGACCCTTCCTTTTGTGACCTAGACTGTGTGTTTGGCTGTACATGGTAGAAAGGAAAAATGAGAAGAAAAACTTATAGACCAATAAAAGGGCATAGCAAAGTATAACAAATACAATAAAAATCTTCTAATAATGACTTGAAAGTATGAACAGTGGAAGTTCAGCCTATGTCAAGCTGAATATTCCTGATGAAATACAAGAAAAGTGACAGGAAGCAACAGCTAGTAGCTCCCATATACCCAGAGGGTCTGGGATTTAACTGACTGACGCCAAAGTCCTCTTTACTGAATTAGTCCATGTCCCATATAAAACCAGCCACTTCAAAACTACAACATTTCTGTAATTTGACTAAGAATAAATAAGACACGTAAATTAGCACTCCCTCCATTCCAAATTATAGTTCACTTTAGATTTGTCCTAAGTCAAACTTCTCTAACTTTGACCAAGTTTATAGAAATACAAACGAACTTCGCAACATCAAATTGGTTTCGTTAAATTCTTCATGAAATATGTCTTGATAGTACATTTATTTGGTATTGTAGATAACATATATTTTTTTCTAAAAACTTGGTCAAAGTTAGAGAACTTTGCCTTATGACAAAACTTAAAAGTTCTATAATTTGGAATGAAGTGATATTTGTGATGGTTTTTACAGAAGCAGTCTGGTGATTTGTGATATCAAAGTTATTTCAGCTGGAGGCTGGACCAATTTCCATAACCACCAGAAGCCAAGCTAGTAATGGCAGGGCCACTACAATCCAGGTAAGGCCTAAAGGGCCTGCTAGATACCATTTTATCCTCCTATCAGGCTCAGATTTTACAGCGCACATTTGTGCAGAGTCCATGTAAACCATCAAATGAGATTATGGTTAAATTTACAGAAAAAAAATCTACAAAGTTTGAATAGTTACATTTCTGCAACAAGATAATCAAATATCTAACTAGGGACGATAGTTCCACACCTTAATAACATCAAGCTGCCTCTCCATTAACTCTTGATCCAATGCAGTGGTCAGATTTCCAGCCCAAGTGAACACAGTGTTTCCATCATGTAGAATGTAACAATATGATGAATTCAATGATGAGGCCACCTAACAATAGATACAGGAGACAGTATATGACTGGTAAGGAAGATGGTATAATAATATAAAATTAATCTGCAGTCAGATAAACCTTCGGGAATAAAAATGCCACTTCCACATGAGGGGGTTAGGTTTTTTATCCCCTTTATCTAGGTCGAGGTCGTTCTAATTTTCAATCAAGGACGAGCTATGTAATTTTTTACTGAGACTGTCTTGGTGTGTGTTATAAGGGTTCTTACTCCTTGTTTCTTCATAATATAATGATGCATAAGTCTCCTGCATATTCAAGGGGAAAAAACTTACAGGTTCAACTTGAATCGCTTGCATGTTTTCTGGTCCTGAACCTTGAATACGAAAGAGTGCAAGCCCATCTTCAGAATAACTTTCATCATCAATACCATTTTCAGCGATGAATCTCTTGTATCCAGAACTAAGACCACCCTACAATTACAATTTGGGATGGTAAAACTGCTGTGTTAACTAGTAACACCAATACAACTGAAGACCATTAAATGCATGTACACCTTAAACACTTGCAAGCTTTGAAATATCACGAAGAACTGAATCGGTTCTTTCCCCTCATAAAAGCGCGCCTGATTACAAAGCAAGGATACATTAGAGAAGACAAAAGGGTTTATATCCAGTTTAACAATTCCACATAAAGAAAATCAGTGAGTTACCTGGACAGCCTGAAACTTAGCAGATTCAACCATCTTGCTTGCAAGTGAAACTGCTATTACCCTATCCTCCTGGATAAGAATTGAAAAAAAAAACCTTTATTGTTCAAGTTGATTTAACAAGATAACTGAAGACTACATAATCAACGAGCATAAGGTTATCCAAAATCTCACTAATATGCACAAACAGCATAGGTAACCTTTTGTTTTTAGTTCACAAACCAAGAACATGAAATCAATGTCAGCTGATACTTCAAACCTTTTCAGTTCTTATTTACGAACTTCAAAGATGACTTAACTAAAATTAGGCAACTACGGTCTAGAAAGTCACAGAGATTGGTACAAGCATCAGCCGGAAACACAAAAATTTCACAACAAAAATGAATTTATGGAAAACACTGTTACCTCAATACTCTTTTTCCCAAACCAGGTTCCAACAAGATATTCCTCCTTATCATCTCCAGGATAAGTATACTGAAATATGTAGCAATCGCCAGTGTAAAATTTGGATTGGTCAGAGGATGAGAGTTGAACCTTGTCTTTATCATTTACACGCCAAACCTATCAAATCGAAGGGAAAAGTAAGTCAGAACACTGTTAGTTTGCATATATAAGCTAAAAAATAAAATGAACCACATGGATCAAAAAAATGAATTAAACATTTAGCCTTGCGCACAACTTGGAAGCACACTCCAACTTCCTGTCTCAAAAATGAATTTCTAGCTAGTTAGCTCCCACAGGTTTGTACACCCATGCCAGCACATATGCCCTTTCTGAAACCACTATTTGCAACAATGCTTGTCCAAAAATATTTTCATATGTACAGAATCTTGTAAGGCAACTAAGATAAGAATGTTTGCAGCCTAACATTGAGAAGGGGGAAAGCCAAAAAATGATGAGATACAAAATATGAAGCTAATATAAAAAGTGCAGAAATACCTGCAAGTTGCCAGTGCAATCAATATAGGATTGAGGTTCTTCTTTTGCAGGAGCAGCTTTCATCAAACCCTTAACATTTAAGCCCTGGCGTTTGAGAAGAGCTTCACAAAGAACACAACTGATCAAATTGTGAAGGGTGTAAAGCATTTCATAAATTTTAAAAGCGGAAAACTGAAGCTAGTAAATTTGTAAATAATAACCTGCAACTTTGCCTCTTCCATCCTCCGATGACAACTTCAACTCAGGCGTCTGTGGCCACTCTTTAAATTTTGACTTGAACGTAACAGTCTCAAACCCTTCAATCACTTTGATTATATGTGTTCTTGTTCGGTCTGATTCAGAGAGCAATTTCTACATAGGCAATTAGGCAAATAAATAGTAAACGTCACAGCAACATAGTCAACACAAAGAAGTCACTCTGAAAATATGCAATATTTCTAATTAGCATGAACAAGTAACCAAGCCTCTAAAAAATAGAGGAATATAGATTCAAAGGACAACCTTAAAGGTAAAAACTGAAGGAGCCTATGCCATATTACAAAATCAATGAGCCCATCAGCAAGTGTCAGCAAGACTCGTCAGCATTTTCAATAGTGTACCACTAAGAATACGATGAAATTGCATAAGTAACTAGCTGAACAAATGTTACCTCAGCAGCTTCACTAGCACCCTTTCTCTCCTGCAGGGATGTAATTCTGCCCATCCAAACATACAATTCTGCACCACAGTCTAAGAAGTAACACTTGTTTGTCTCAAGTAATTCATGTGCTAAAGATTGGCAGTCGATAGGCTCCAGCTTTCCTTGGTCAAAACTGAAAAGTAAACATTTCATAGATTACTAATAGATTTCAAGTAGAAACTGTTTTAGTTGGCAATCAAATCAAACAAAAGGAGTTCCCCTATACAGAATAAAAACTCAGTCGATTACCATAGCAATTTGAAAGCAGTTTCCTCATGTTTCTCATTGCCTTCTGCAGGTGCCCTCCTAGGAAGAGGGGCGAAGCCACCAAAAAAACCCCAGAATTCACCAGCTTCCGCATCAGCCATCATTCTACCATCCTCTAAGAAAAGTGAAAACAGTCATATCTAGAGATTTTAATTTCCAATACCACACAAGGTGCATAGATGCTCACCAACAGATGCAATTTCACACTTCCCCTCATGAAATGTATCTTTGATGTACTGCACAACTTCAAGAGCTTTTGCTCGCTCTTGGATGGATGAGTTTGAGCCACTGAACTGGAAAATTTTGAACTTCGTATCCAAAATAAATATGTCATCATGACTAAGGGATGATCGAGCAAATGGAACCTGGTTGTAAAATGGCAAGTCTTATTATACGACATGAATATCCATATTTGAATAAAAAAGACAGTCACGCAGATAACTTGCCTCTTTAACATGAACAACATGCTTCCCATGGCAGACATATAAGCAGGTCTTGTGATCTTGCTCATTGACCTCAACATGGTTGAATCCAGATGCCACTCCTCCTGGCTGTGGCATGATGCATGGTCTAAAATAGGACAGGAATTTTTCTGTTTCATTGCCTTGTATTTCTCGGTACTGAACAGCACGCCCGCCAAGAGCAGCATCAAGCTCTACCGTTAAAATCGCAGCAGTTCCAGCTTCATCCTAACATGGACAAAATTGGATTCAATTACCTTTTCGAAACAGTATCACCAAATGACATGAGAAATTTACCTGACTAGTATCTTTACCAATCCAGTAATGGATGTCATGGCGAAGAGAACCATTTTTCAAGGCTGTTGTCTGTAAGAAGGGAAAAGATGCGGAAAAAGTTACATGCCCGTGAGCATAATCCAATTGAATCCCCAAGCATACTAAGTCAAATAAAAATAGTGATACCATATGTATGGCAAGAAAAGAGACTAAATGTTGATTAAGGTCTATGAATCATGTGACACACTACCCAAAAACAAAGTAGGATTACAGACTTTACAATAACATGGAACTTTACTGATTGAATGAATCATGTTATAAGAAAATATTTAACTATGCATAGCTCATAACCTCAATAAACCCAGTTTCATGAACTGCAGCTTACTAAACTAATCCTTCTTTAATATGTATCTACCATATCTACTAAGAAAAATCTTCAATTTTAGTGAAGTTTTACAGTAACAATATAATATTCTTGCTGCATTTAATCCCTCTGACAATGGAAATAAGGCCAAGTGTAAAATACAATTGAATCTAGCATATAATTTAAAATTTACAAACAGTAGTTTGCATGCAAGGAATGACTCAGATTATTTTAGCTGGTCCTCCTTGATCTTGTTAATAACATTATATAGCATATATACAATTCCTCTATCATCCATTTTCTTTTGAGTCCACAGAATGTATTACATGTTTACAAAAACACTCAGAATGCATAAAATATCAGAACTCTACAGCGAAGTCCCCATCCATATTTAAATATTCGCAAACTACTTTTATCCCATAGAATAAACTGTGAACACTTCTTTAGCAAATCAAGTCCACAAGTTATTGTAATTTTGTAAGTTCTATTATGGCTATGGTGAGATCTAGGCTGTGGCATAAGAGGAGCTAAAACAACTTTTTCATTCTTTTTAAACCAAAAAACTCACAGGGTCAAAGTCGAATAGAATGAACTGCATTGTGCAATATAAGGATTGAACTGCCAAGATGTTTAGCAAAATGCTAAAGAATTTTGACAAATAACAATTGAAGAACAGATGTAAATTCTAGAAATATATCAACTAAGTGCCTGGGTACCAGTAAAAAAGTTTTGGCTGGAAAATAGTTTTTCCTAAATCTAGGAAGCAAACTGAGAACAGGAAGATATCATGCCCTTTGATACCTTCAAGATAATGTAAGAATCACCCATGAAGAACTTTCCATATGAAGAAGCAGGGACAGGAACTGGCTTGAAATTCTCAATACGCCATATTTCCAAGCCGCTGCAAGGTATTAAGGATAACGATAGCCATTCATGGACCTAGACCAAAAGCATAATGGAGTTGTAGAGTAATTTTCAATAGTAAATTTGAGATCAAGGGCATGCTCCATAAATATTTGATGAACTCAACTTTGACAAGCTTTAGTTATTATAATCTCATCCTTCACTGTAATTGCTCAATCTTTACATTAGCTTATTGATATTGCTATTTAGTTATCCAAAAATGCATACACCTTTTCCAGGAAATGAGCACCGATTTCTACTGTGTTAGATTTATAGAACATGCCAAGAGGGCATATCCCAGGAGAGTTCATTTATGTACATGACTACATTACAAATTAGTAATTAATAAATCATGTCAAACAGGTACAGGATGTTTTTTCCTCTACAGCTCCTGTGTGTGATATAAAAATGGTTATCTCATGCTACACCAAAAATAATTTCTTAATTTTCTTGTATGATACCTCACATCATTGCCAAAAATCACTAACCAATAACTAGGGGAGAGGTTAGAGATTTGGCCAGCATGAAGATGACAAACGCTAAAAAAATAGTCATAACATAATGATGGAACGAAATAAATGAAATCCTAAAAAGGATACTCCTTTTGTCCAGAACCACGGAAAGCTGGGTCCAGGTCCTTCATAGAAACTGACATCCTCAATTCGTAAAGAAGTGTTACCTAATTCTTCTTTCAAATGAGACCTAAAAGGATGCTGCGAACAAGAAACACATGAATAGTAAGCAAATAAACAAACAGATAATCTCCCATCCTGAGAAAACTAAAATAGCCAGTTTTGCCAATGTGGAGTAACACTATCATTACATATAACAACCTATCTGAGCATCCAGATTTTACAAGAATAGCTTCGAGCCTTCGAATGATATTACTGATATGAAAATGAAAGTAACAAAATAGGCACACCATCCATAATATCCTTAACTGTAAGTGACAAAAAATATGAGCACTGACTGTACAAGTTCTCGCTGAATATCTTCTCCTATAGGATCTGCTAGATAACTTGACTCTGCAGCAAAATGTATCAGACTAACACATATGGCGCCTAACTCATTCAGGGTCCTATACTAGTAAGTCAGCTTACAATGTATATTTCCTCAGTGCCATCAAGTTTACACGACGGAAATGTGTCTGGAAATCATGGGCTCCGCTCCGCTGCAAGTTCTTTATTTGGGTGGCAATCAAGAATAGGTTCTGGACTTCAGATCGTTTGGATAAAAGAGGGCTGCCACATCCCACTGCTTGCCCCCTTTGTGATGTCTCATAAAACAGGTTTGGCTGTTCATCCTCGAAAAAATTGGTTTGGCTGCCCCTGATCCTCAACCTGCTGCCACTCGTTTCTACAAGTGGTGGCATGGTGTGGACAGAAGCGTTCCAAAGGACAGAAAGAAAGGGCAGAGTTCCCTTCATCATCCTTGTGGCTTGGGAGATAGGTAAACATCGCAATGCTTGTGTGTTTGAGGGTGCTAGGCCTTGTATTTCGGTAGTGTTAGATGCAGTGGAAAATGAGAGTAGTTTGTCTTGTACGTCAACTCTCCATGAACTACTCATGAGGTCGTTAAGGCTCTATTATAAGTGGTGTGTCTGTAATTAGACATCCGCCGGAGTTGGCCGCTGGCCTCTCTTTATTTTCTCTCTTCTTAATGAAATAACACACAGCTCTCCTGCGTCGTTCGAGAAAAGGAAAACACATTTACCAATCAAGAAACGAGTGTCAATGCACAATAACATGCAACCACACATCTACATTCAGTAAAGATCGCATGTGAAGTTAGGAGCAAGAACTACAATACTGTTTTTTTCTCTCGAATACGCAAGAGAGCTGTGTATCATTGCATTAAGAAAAAAGGATAGTACAACACCCTGTGATATGGCTATAACGAAGTCAAGCAACAGAATAGACATACTATGGAATAATGTCGTTGCCGACAACTTATATAAGATAACTCAGAATCCAGGTAAGATGCAGGATGATATGTGTTTCCATATCAGGAAATGCACGGCAATGTAAATCCATAAGTGGCCCAAGGCTCACGTGCAATGCTGGTCTCGAGTGAACAAAGGGCTAATCTGCTAGATCGCATGCATTGCTGGTCCCAAGTGACCGCAGGACTAATCTGCTATAGCTCAACACAGACAGCCATTCCTTCTCCTGACTCCTATCCCGTCAGCTCGAATTCCAGCTGAGCTCTGAAGAGCTGAAGTGGTAAGGTAAGGTAAGGTAAGGTAAGCATTGCAAACAAGTAATATCGCTCCCAATCGGCTTCAGGACAAGCTAACTGGGCGAGCAGCTCTACACCATCAAGCAAGGGCGGAGCCAGTAAAGGACATGGGATGGACATCCACATGTATGTACACCCAATAATTTTTTGCAAAAAAATCGAAGTTAATAGGCACTTGTAACTAGATCAGATCCGAATACAAATAGCCAACTAGCTTAAGTTAGGGTTCGGGTGCTCAGTTTCGCACGGCAGGAAGGGAGGAGAAGGGGTGCGCGCATACCTGGTGGGTGATGGGTGATCGTCGCCGGCGAAGAACCCCGACGAAGACGGAGCGAAGGGACCGACGAAGACCTGGGCACCTGGCGCAGGGAGGCGGGCGGCGGGCCGTCGGCCGTCGGCGGCGGTAGCCCGGTTGGCGCAGGAGAGAGAGAGAGAGAGAGAGAGAGAGAGCGCAAGCGGGGTGAAAGGAAGAAGAAAAGCAGCCGTGAAGGCGGTCCAATGTTTTCTTCTCAGAAGAAGAAGGCTCAAAAAAAGGTGGCTTATATGAAAATTCCTGCTGCTGCAAGGGAATAAAAGCTAAAAATACTACAGGCAAGCTGTGGGTTGGCAAATGATGGACTGAAGCGTGCGTGCCACTAAACAACACCAGCAATTCAGAAAACTGTCTTTTTTTTTCTTGGATTCTCTTTTTTTTTTTAATCATGAGTTCATCACAAACTAATACTGCTTCTGCGTCTCTCATGCCGCACACGCCATTACGTGGAGTCAAAACCTCAAGGCACGGTTGTGGTAGCCAAGATTAATCTGTTCAAGGGTATTGACTTAGAGTATATATAATATAATTATAATTTTGGAGATTTTTATTTTATTTTTGTGTTTTTGGTATCTGTCTGGAGCAGAATATTTGGGGCAGTGTCCTGTCTCTCTCTTCATTAACACCTTTGACCTCAGTTGATACGAGGGAACAGCACTTAAGTCGTTGTCAATTTTGTCATGTGCTACAACTCAAGCGGCTGTTAAGTACTCTCAGCTGGTTCATTTGGGAGGCATAATTAAAGGGATAAATGCATTGCGGGAGTACTTAGTTCCATCAGAAAAGCTAAGTAGGGCAATGTGTTTTGATTCATCGATCATTTGCTCATCCATCACAAAGACAGCTGGGGACCATAAGACAACCTATCATGTGTGTACTCTACTATGGGATTATGGGCTGGCAAATCTTTTGTGCCCTGGGACCTACCTCCTCACATCTGATGCTTTATTTGTCAAGAAAACCTAGTAAACAGATCTTCAGCCTAAAGAAAGAACAGCTAAGAAAGCCTTATTGGACCTTTTAAGGAAAAAGGTGTTATATTACATTCATTAAGGTAAGTTGAAAAAAAAAATACTATACTCGCAATGGGTTGTACGTTCACATTAAATAGGTGCCACGTATATTTTTTTTACAACAACAAAATAACGAGTATAGAAGGAAACTTGTATGTTGTAGACATACTTATTACGAACAAAATCAAGCCACTACTTCATAACACCACGTTTGTGCGCACATGTAGAAATGAATCAACAGGAATAGAGTGTCACTGCCGGTTTTTGAGCCCATACAGAGGTTCATAGAGGAATATCCTCTGCCAAACTTTTTATAAAAAATAACACCGATAATATTTATGCCAGTTTTGAACAACATTGGCACGAATAATTTTACTATCACTGGCAACATTTAATAAAAGTTAGCAACAGAAGTATATGTGCTAAATAATTAAGGTTGATACGTGACCACAAGTCTTAGATGCTATCAGCCTGTTCGTTTCGGCTTATTTGCTCGTATCTGGCTTATAATCCACGGCTTCAACAGTATTTTTCTCTCACACCAAACCAGCCAATAGTACTTTCAGCCATAGATTATAAGCCGATTCAACCGAAACGAACATGCTGTATATCTTTGACCGGCAAGGGCAGATTTTTTTTCACTAGGTGGCTGGTAACGCTTCATGAAAACAAGATCTTTAAACAACCATCCTTTATATATTCTGCCAATTTTTAAGTCTGGGGCTTAATCAACCAAATAGAGCGGACAAACGACCCATAAAAAGGCAATAGAATCCTCTTTTTTCTAGAGATGGTACACCCTCGTCCTTGAAGAGACAATTGTAACCCACTTTCACATGGTTGTAACACGGATTGCAAATTGTAATTCAACGAATGTACCAAATACAATGTTAGAAATTGAATTGTCATTTAAGATTAAAATTTTACCTAACCAAAGTACCTACTGCTTTCCATTGTTACCCGGACACAATGTTTTTCACTTGAGTCATGCTTTAGTCAAAAGGAGGTGAACATCTTTATCTCTCTAGTATGATTAGTGCAATCACTGTCTAATATCCAACTTGTTCCACTCGAGTAGTCCTATAGAATAAATCATTTGAGGTTAGCCACATAATCTTTGAGAACTCATGTGCTACTTTTGATTATACTTGTCTTCGTGTAGGCCAAAACATACTTGATGGCCACTTTTACCACTTGAATAGGGACGCTCGTGGCGTAGTTGTTTCATCTTCTTGGCCTTGTTGGATTCTTCATTTGACATGCCCATGTTGACTTGTTGTGAGGTCTTGCTCTTGAGTCTTGAGCACGACTTCACTAGGGGTGGTGCCCTTGTCGAATCTGACACAAGAAATGCCATTGATGATATCTCTTCCTTTGATCCTTCCTTCATATTAACTCTACATGCTTTCAATATAAGCATAGATGTTCTCGTTTCAAGAAAAATCCTTCCTTCATATTTGTCGAAACCAACACCATCCATGATGAATGGGTGTCTCAACATCCTAATCTCAATCCTCTTAGCTCTGCCTCACAGTTGCATCCGTTCTTGACAAGCATTTTCATCCTTTGGATCTCCTTGTCCTTCTTTTCTAGCTCATCAAGGTTAGCAACACAAGGATCTATGTCCACCATTGGTTCCTAATTTGTAGTATTAGAGTGGCATCGCATATAATATTAAAAACACATGTATTTTGTTTGACAGAAGCCCAGACCAAACCCAGTGTTGATTTCAGCTCAGAACTGGCTAGGCCCAACAGACGAAATGGGCCTACTGGACCGTACAATTCATTTTTCCTCTCCTCAATATCGCCGGCCACCCACTGACGGACTGACCCACCATCCGCCCGATCATCAGCATGTTCGATGTTCGTGGATTATTTACTGCTGACGAGTGGGGGAGAAAAACACTGTTGCCGGCTTACGAGCGAGCGAACAGGCTGCATATGGATCACACTGCCGAGCATCTCGACCCCACCGCCCCGACGCCCTCGTCTGCCTCCTCCCCGGCCGCCGTCGCCGGGGTAAATGCGTGGTTGGCCTCCCTCGCCGCGGAGGCCGGGAGCGCGGGCGGGGCGGGAGGGCGAGGCGGCAGAGGAGATGCGGCCTCGGAGCTTTCGCTGGGGCCCGACTCCACACCGCTCGGGGTGGCCTACCTCCGCACGCTGGCCGCGGCGTCGCAGGCGCGGTCCCGCGCCGCCGGAGTAGTGGCTGCGGAGCTGCGCGCGCAGGCGGCAGAGTATCGCGCCGAGGCGGCGCGGTTGCGGGAGGCTCTAGAGCGGGCGGGGCTCGCGAGGGACGCGCTCCCACCAACCGCAGCTGCGGCGGCGCGCGCTGTCGCAGCCGTTTCCAACCTTCTCGACATCCGTGACGCCGACATGAGCAGGTGACTCGTTTCGCTAGGGTTCCACGAGTATCGAATTATCGACACTGATATGGAAGATTCATCGATTCATGCAATGCCAGTGATAAAATTCCAAACCCTGAACATGTGTACCCATCAGAATTCAGAAGTAAAGATCTCTCAATTATTGCGTCTGAGATATAAAAGACTTAAACCATGGCTTAACTGGAGGTACTCTGCTGTTTTTGCATTTGTGTTTGGTTTGGATTCACACTAAATTGAGGCTAAATTAACACTGCCTCATGCAACTCGAAGCAAAGATCTAGATAGGCAAGCCTGTGAAATTATGTCCTCAATGTTGTTATATACAATAAATTTCTCTGAGTGTCACATCTTACGTATGTATTGGATCTGATTTTGTAACTTCGTCATCAACTCTAAGGAAGCTGGTGAATAGATATTTGTGACTTTTTGGTCTTTGGGTGCTGTAGGGACTGTTATAATTATTCTTTTTTTTGTTTGATATTTTGTTTGACTAGGTTTTTTTGTTGCTGTTGTCATGCAGCTTTGTGGTGGCGGGTGCAGACTTGTCTATGAGGCGAGCAGAGGCGGAGGAGAAGAGGGACAAAGTGCATAAGGAGTCAAATACACTACTTGATTACACGCGGAAGGCCATAAACAAGCATACTGAGCTGAAGAAGTGAGCGGAAAACTGTCATTTCCCAGTTGTTTCAAGGAGTGTTCATTAGTCACCAATCATTTTCACCTAGATTTCTGTGTCAAACGTGATAAGTACTTGTGCTGTTTCTAGGATGCTGGAGAAATTTAAAAATGATGTGGAGAAGCGACAGGCTGAGCAAATGACGGGTTGGCAGACAAAGCTTGTTATGATGGACTCAAAGGAACGGCAGTATATCCTCCAAGTCTCAAATTATAAGGTGACTAGCATTTGTATGATTCAAATATGGAGTTGGCTTCAGTCTGTGCTTCCAGTAATCCAGGTCTTGATTTTTGACCTGCTAGGTGGGGACACCAATCCCTAAACTAACTTGTGCTGATACTTTTCATCACTAGAGAATCCTATGCCTTTTAGCTAGAAACTGTCAACTATTGCAAGAATCTAGTAAGTTATCAATTCCATGTAGTAGTTAATTGGGGATGATAATACTGATATATGATTGTTAAGTTGAATGTGCAACATCTGAATCATCTTAGTCAGGCTGTTTCTGTATTTGAAGAAGCCCTTGATAGACTTACCTCAGCTGTTATGCAATTATGTAGCTAGCCTTTCTGATTGAACTTTGCATTCAGTAAGTGGTTTTAGTTCAGGTCTGCTTTCACTGGATTTCTTTCCTTATTAGTAGGATGGAACCTCTCATAAGTTTTCTGTGAGCTGAAGCACTATGTAACTGATAGCTCAATAATTCCTGGCGCTATGAGCAATTGAGTATATGCTAAGCTGTAAGCCTGTAAGCTACCTGCAGCCTTTTCATGTAGATATGAGAATCTAGAGATGTACTCCGTATATCTTTGACTGGATTGCTGGACATGGGAATGAATATAATGTGTATCATGTGAAGCTTTGAACCGATGATGCACACTTATGTTCCTCCATTACCTGTTTTAATACTGTGATGGATAGCTAGCGATGAATGAAGTAATCTGATCGTGAAGTGAAATAATCTGACATCAAAGTCTGATACTGTTACTCCAAAAAGGTGTTACTGCAATTTAGAGCTGTTTTGGTATTCTCTTTTCATTGTTTCCACAGTGGTTCGAGATATTTGTCCCTTTGAAGGTCAAGTTTGTGTGCTATTTCATTACATGTTTTTGTCTGATTATTAGGAAATCTACGATGCCTTTTAGACTTGTTGTCTTCTTATCTTGTATCAGGCAATGCTTAACCGAGTGGCTTATACGCCAGAGATCAATCATGGCGTGTTAATGGAAATGGCTGAGCATAAGAAGGATCTTGAGAGGAGGACAAAACCCATAGCTGATACATTAAGAAGCTACCAGGATTTACCTCCTGTATGCCCTTTGTCTTTTTTCTGTTAGGTCCCGGGTTCGAGTCGCGGTCTCCTCGCATTGCACAGGCGAGGGTAAGGCTTGCCACTGACACCCTTCCCCAGACCCCGCACGGAGCGGGAGCTCTCTGCACTGGGTACGCCCTTTTTTTTGTTTTCTGATGGAATCCGTTGCTAATTCTTGGGTACTTTGTTGTAATCAGGATAAAGCTCTGGCTGCGCTAGCTATAGAGGACAAAAAGAGGCAGTATGCAGCTGCAGAGAAGTACCTAGAAGACGTGTTGCAATCTGCTTTAACCACAACTGGCCTATAATGTGCATAGTTTTGTTTTGCGTATCTGATTTACAAAGAGTGCCACATTATCTAGAGGGGTTTGGGCTGATTATGAAACAATTTCATTTCGCGGTTTCATAGGGTAGCCACAATATTTAATTGCAACGTACGGGATTAGATGAAATGAAACCCTCTAGCGGTCAGCCTTCAATGCTAGTTTCAACATGTTTCATAGTTTGTGTTAGTATTAACTTATGTGTATCACGAGTTAATATAAAGCTGTCTCTTTCTATAAGAAAAATAGACAAATGTCATGCTGAAAAATTGTCATGACAAATTTGTTTATAAAATTATGAAGAAAAAAAATCTACTGAAAAGTTATCTTACGAAGTTGTGATGATAAATTTTGTCAAGCAAAATGGTACATATAAAACTGTGAGTACTATAGTTTTCCAAAACGAAAAGTTACAAAGTATTTTCCAAACAGAAAAAAGTCGCGAAATGACCAAATGCTTTGGCTGGTTTCTTATCCGATGAACGTTCGTGGATTAGTAGGTCCGCTTCCGCTTGTTACCTGCGACATTGCGTGGCCACTGGCCAGTCAGTCCAGTGCAAGCCAACTGAAGGAGCCCGATACGGAAAGGCAAGAGCCCCCTTTTGAGTTTTGAATGAACCCTGCCGCCCATATCACCAACCTTTCGCCGTCAAAGCAGCACGGCAACTTGTCCCTAATCAATAATTCCAGCATTTATCTGTACAGCGGAGCACCAATCCACACGTAAACGATAGTCATGTGACCCGTCACGGTCTCAAAGCGACAGCTCTTCTCGTCTCACGCTCTCAGCCGACAACGGCCAGCCGATCGTCAGCTCATTCACACAGCATGTACATGCAGCTTGAGGGAGACCCATCGAGCATCAAAAAACGTCTCCGCGAATTAAATCACCTGCCCTCGTGGATGGAGGTGATGGTGAGGTCGTTGGTGCTGCACGACGTGGTGCACTGCGTCCGCGTCCGCGTCCGCAGCCCCGACCCGCCGTCGTCGTCGCTGCTGCTGGTCGCCGCCGTCGCCACCCTGAGGGAGAAGTGCGGCGGCCGCTTCGGGTCCGGGAGAGGTCCGGTGGCCTGCAGCATCGTCGTCACGTCCGCCATGGTCGGCCGGTCCGCGGCGCTGTCCTGCACGCACAGCAGCGCCACCTTGACGCACCGCACGATGGTCGCCACGTCGCCGCACTCGCCCAGCGTCGGGTCGATCAGCTCGAACACCCTCCCTTCCCTCCACAGCTGCCATGCCTGTGACAGTTCGTCAATTTGCAATTAAGCACGGCACTGCAGTTCTTATGACACATGGCTATACATTGCAAGTTGCAGCCTTGCTGCTGTCGATGTGAATGAGTTGACCAAATAGCAGGCAACGGATGACAACTCACATATCCGAGCAGGTTGACGAAGTCGCCGTAGTGGTGGTGGTGGCCGCTGTTCCGCTTCCCGCTGACGATCTCCAGCAGCAGCACGCCGAAGCTGTACACGTCGGACTTCACCGAGAAGATGCCCTCCGAAGCATACTCAGGAGCCATGTAGCCACTAATAAAGAAACGCCATTAGCGACTGCAAAGCTTTCCAGCAGCAACACAAAATAGCAACAACGGATGTCAGTTAAAACTTACTATGTTCCGACGACCCTGTTGGTGTTAGCTTCGGTCATGTTGGATCCGAAGATCCTGGCCATGCCGAAGTCCGAGATCTTGGGGTTCAGGTCCTTGTCCAGCAGAATGTTGCTCGCCTTCAGGTCCCGGTGGATGATCCTCACCCGTGAGTGCTTGTGCAGGTAGAGCAGCCCCTGCACGATGCCGTCGATGATACGCCGCCGTTTCTCCCAGTCCAGCAACGGCCCCCGCTGCTGGTCGAAGATGAAGAAGTTGAGGCTGCGGTTGGGCATGTACTCGTAGGCGAGCAGCTTCTCCTCCTCCTGCACGCAGCAGCCGACGAGCCGCACCAGGTTGGTGTGCTGCAGCTTGGCGATCAGCTGGATCTCGTTCTTGAACTCCTCCAGCCCCTGCCCGGAATGCGCTGCCAGTCTCTTCACCGCGACCTCGGCACCGTCCGCCATCTTCCCCTGCAGCCGAATCGATCAGAGTCAGTCATGGCTAGCTGTGCACACGTCAAGCACTGTAGAACCTGAAAATAATGAAACGTCAGCTCGCCTTGTAGACGGGGCCGAAGCCGCCCCTGCCGAGCAGGTTCTCGTCGGAGAAACCGCCGGTCGCGGCCGCCAGCTCGGGGAAGTCGTACAGCGTGAACTCGGAGCTGCTCTCCTCGATCCGCCACAGCTTCAGCGCATCCTCTGTGGCGGAGCTGTTCCGGGATTGCGCCTCCAGCTGCGGCTTCCTCTTCTTCTCTGCATTGGAGTTTTTTTTTTTCTTCTTCCAGTTAGTCATGGAGTTCTCTATCCAAGATTTCTGCCCCCAATGCGACGATTTGGCAGCGGTCGGCGTCTGCTTACCGGTTCTTTTTCGTCGTGCTCTGATCATCACAAGGCCGACAGAAACCATAGCAGAGAACACCGTGATTGATACAACGAGAGCGACAATTAAGACCACCTTGTGATTGCTTTCTACATCGTTTACATAGAAAAAATGAACAATAGTAACAGACCATGCTTTTCCTACTGTATGTTGCAAATGATCAAAAGGGGGAAAATGAAAATGCGTGTTTACCCTGGCTTTCCGGAGCTGATGAAGATGATGGGTCGCTCTTCAGGCCGATCCTGACCTCCGGCATGCCTTGGAAGAAATGGTACGCCTCGTAGCGGAAGCTGCAGCGGACGCCGAGGATGCGTCCGCCCTCGCGTCCGTCGTACCAGCGGCGGTTCTGGTCCTGGAGCACCTGGAAGCAGTCCCAGCACTGCGCCCGCGAGAGGTCCGGCGTGCACTGCACGAACCCGTACACCGTGGGCAGCTGCGGGTTCACGTACATGGCGGCGCTCGCGAACATGCGCGCCGCCGAGGAGTTGTAGGCGGCGTACATGGCCATCTCCGAGAACAGCGTGCCCACCAGCGACAGGAACAGCGTCCGGCTCGTCGCGTTCCGGGCGTCCCACCCGTAGTAGGTCGACCCGTTCACGTCCAGCGCGTTGATCACGGGGGAGTTGTCGTCGGGACGCGCCAGGAAGTCCCCGCCGGAGTACCGCGCCGTGCACAGGTCGGCGTAGAACGTGGCGTCGCGGTCACCGCCGCAGAGGCGGCGCAGCCGGGCGAACGCGTCCGCGAGGCACGCCGAGCAGACCCGCGGGTCCGCGACGTCGCCGCGGCAGAGCGCCAGGCCGTACGCCGTGTCCGCCGGGGCCGCGCCGACGGACGCCGAGGCGAAGAGCGACGCGGAGGAGGAGGCGTTGCCAGGCAGCGCCGCGACGAGGCGGGCCAGGTTGGCGGCGAACGCGCTGCCGGACGTGAAGTTGCCCGTGGTACCGTTGCACGAGTACTCCGAGTACGCGGCGGCGCGGGGCACGAGCGCGAGCGACAGGGAGGAGGACACGAGGACGAGGAAGAGGCAGGGGAGAGGGCCCATGTCGAGCTCGCTCGTCCTGCACTGCACTGGCTGCGAACGAACGCAAGACAAGAGATGATCGATGAGTGGCAGTGTCCATTTGATGCTTATCAGGTGCCAAGTCAAAAAGGCTTGGTGGAAGGTGGTTGGGTTGACGGCTCGATCCAGCACGACATAATAGAATTTGTGCTCTCATCTTTGATTTGCAGCCCGCATCCGAGGTGGATAGATAATTGCCTTGTGCCCTTGTCGCGTTGACAAATTTGGTTTCTCTGTCCGACCACATTGATAGGAAAACGAAAGATTATATATCTGCTTTGTGATAAATCACCACAAATTTAAATGTTTCTTTCGATTAATGTGGTAGTTTTTTAGATTTTCTCCGTGAATGTTGTCCTTTTTTATCGGAATATAATAATAAGATAACAGATAGAAGATTTGGTTGTCTGATCAGATGGACAGAACAGACGAAATGGAAATAAATAAATAAACCTCCCATTTTGAACATAACTATGTAAGTACACTCGTCACTCGTATCACAGTGGTCATTCGCGGTTTGATATGACCGGTGGAAACGTTGAACGGTTCCGAGTAGTCCCCCCACGTGCAAAGGTAGAGAAGAAGAAAGAGCCGTGGAAAAAAGACATTTCACCGTTCTTCTATCTTCTCTAAGTGGGAAATGAATATTTTAATAGGAGCGGTGTCTTTTAGCAAATTTGCTATAAACTAGAGTATCCACCAGCTAATTGGACTTTTTTTTAAGTATCCGCTAGCAATGTGATTTCACTTTTAGTATCATGTAGCAAATGTTGCCTATAACATCTATCTCTTCATGCAAGCTATTCAAGTCAGCGTGCTACGTAATCCACTACCATGTATTTAGTTGTGCACCTCAGCATGCCACACCATCTACTAAGTTCATCCATTCATACATGTAAATATAAGTCATCTAGTTTTATTACAAATCATCCGTGATCCCCGTGTACAATCTGGTTGCACCCATCGTGAATGTCAACTTACAAGTTGGTACAGACTTGGTGACTTGGGCATTGAAAAAATGGTTTCTTCCGTGTAAATTTCATATACCGTGTTCTGGTCAGTGATGGTATGGTATTAAGGTCACGTAGGAAATCAAAATTAGCATGCTCAGGAGTATAATCCAAATTCCTCTCTTGACGGGAGAAAAAAGTCAGATGATACTTTCCATCATCTTTATAAAAAAAATCCTTTTACATATATAATGTAAGGACTAAGGACAAAAATGTATATATTGGGGTATGCTTTGACCAAGTGCATATTTTTGAACGCGGGAGTGTCCAGTCGAAATGCTTAATGCGACCACGTTAAACTTGATCGTTCACGGTTCACATACGTAAGTAAAATCCCGTAGACAGAACAAAAAAAAAAGTTGCAAGAACGCCATTGTTTTGATCCGTTAATTAAGCTGACAGCTGACAGGGTTGTAAATTCATGGCATCATGGCATGAGATTGTGAAACAGAGCATGAACAGCGGGTATCAGTTAGCTGTAGGTATCAGCAATGAAAGCTGCACATGCCGGTAATCTCGTACCACTCTGGCAGGCCCTCTAGCTCTGGTGCTGTCATCTTCTACGAGCTGCGAACTGCCACGCAGGTTTCTTCCGATCCGGGCAAAGGCCGGACGTCTGAACGCCGACGAGCATTGCATGCGAATTTGGAGTTTTGAACCCCTTTCACGATCATGGCAGCTCAGTCTGTGAGGTGAGGTCCTTATCTCCTCGGCTGGTTAGCAATAGTAGCCTCGACCGTGCGGTGCAGGCTAGTACACGCTCGCTCGTACTGTAGTCATTAGACGTTAGACAAAGAAAAGTGAAAACTCGTCGGGTTGTACGACAGTGTCGGATGACTATAGATGTCTACACAGCCCGTAGTCCGATGGCCCGGCCCAAAGCATGTTTTTTTTTTGCCCGACCCAAACACGACATGGTGCCTAGGGCCATGCCTGAGCTGCACCCCAGGCACGTCGGACGGCCCGGCATGGCCCGACATTTAGAGGCCGGCCCGGTGGTGGCCTGGTGCCTGGTGTGGCCTGCTAAAATTCCCCACGCCCTCAGCCTAGCCCAACGCGCAACCACTCCCCACATCAGCGCTAAAATTCCCCTCCCGTCCTACGCCACACTCGCCAAGTCGCCAGTCGCCTGGCTCCCCTTCTTCCACACGCAGAGCCGCAGACGCGCTGTAGTCGTGACTCGCGCCCGTCGCTCGCTCCCCACCCCCCACCAAACAAAGAGCCCCCCCACACACACACATGGTACCCTCTCCGAGCTTGGGCAAGCGCTGCGCCTTCTCCTCCTTCCTCGAACCCGACTCCACCAGACTCGATGTCGGCGGGTGAGCGCGGCTTTGTCTCCACCAGATCCAGCGGCATGGGAGCAGAGCGCGACGGCGGCTCCCCTCCAGCCTCGCCGAGCACGTGGATGTCACGCCTGGCTGCGGCCGCGTGGAGGCACCGCGATGGAGGCTCTCCCTCTCCGACTCCGTCTACGGCCGCGGCCTCCTCCGATGTTGATGTTGTGCATCGGGTGCTCCCTCGTGGGCCTCGGGCCTCCCGGCACGCTGGATTTACCGTGCTTCTCAGGCTGGACCGGCCCGAAAAACGGCCCAGCAGGCTGTGTCTGGGCCGAAGGCTAGGCCCGTGGCCCTATGAGACACGACCCGGGATGCGCGACGTGCCGTGCCTGGCACGAGCCCGTGCCGAGCCAGGCCGGGCTAGCCCGATGGCCATCTATACGGATGACGCTATATGACGGTCCATGTGGGCTAATTTACCAGATAAGGCCCTGTTCTGCAGCACTACTTCAGCAGTACTTTTCAACGAACGAATAATATTTTTTCTCTCATAATAAATCAGCATAAGTATTAATATAAGCCGTGACGTGACTCGGTGGCTCGTACTAGTGTTCACATAACTACAGACTATGGTACTCTCTAGCTGTCCGATACATGCGGATCTATAGAGAAATAAGTCAGGAGAAACTTTTCTCGTTATCTTTCATATCTAGCTTCTCCTTTCAAGTGTCAATGAGTACCAATTTGTAGGAACAAACTTAGGAGAGGAGGGGTCCATTCAAGTTTGAAAATATTCAATTTCAATCAACTTGACGAGCCAATTAGCATGTTTCTAAAAAAAATGGAAAGTATCATCTGGAAATTTAGTTTCCAAATGGATGGAGCATGTTCTTTCAGTGATATAAACGTGATGTTTTTCCTATATAAATTTAGTTAGTTTTTTTTTTTAAAAAAACTGACTAATTGTGTCCTAAACACCTAAAATTGCAAAAAAAAATGGCACAGAGTAGTATAATTGAAATAGTAGATTTAGATAATTTCCCGTGTGCCATGGAATGCTATAGAAATTCATGGCAAGCCACTAGAAAACTTTGTCCCACGCTGTATATGCCAACGCAATATTTTCTTTTTCTCTCAGCGCCACTGCCGTTAGAAGTTGTTGAAACGGCCTGGAAGTTTAGTTTTCATAGGAGATATATATTATAATATGAACAATCCATCTTGGTTCACAAAGCCCATATAAAAGCGTCACTTTGATGGGTTAGTTCGCCATTGTCATTTTAGCTCCAACTATTTTCCTTATTGCCCTTCTAAATGAATCATTTAATTGGGTTAAAAACTGATAGCCAGCATAATTTTAATTTGAATGTAATAAAGATGTACTCCCTCCATTCTAAATTATAAGTCATTCCAAGTTTCTTTTAGAGTCAATTTCCTAGAAAAACTTTCTTTGAGAGTCAAAACATATAAAATTTGACTAAATTTATATGATTAGATAATAACATTAATGATACCAACTAAGTATTTAGATTCTTCGTTAATTATGTTTTTATAGTATACATATTTAATGTCATAAATCTTTGTAATTATCTCTATAATTTTAATCAGACTTGAGATGTTTTGCTTCTCCGTAAAAATTGGAATAACTTATGATAGTCATGGCTTGTACTGTCTACTACGACTCCTTTCTACTACTCATCGGACGATGAGCTATCAAAATAACAGCTCCGCTCGGCTGTGATCGTGGTAGCTGCGGCTGCAGCCACTTGCAGCAATGGGTACCAATCAGGCTGAACACTAACTCATTTTTTGTGCTTAAGCATCACAAAATTGGTACCACTGTCCACGTTTTTTGTGTGTGTGTGTTGTTGTTGGGGGTACATGGAGTACTACTCAACGTTACACTACTAACTATTCGTTAGTAGTAGCACGGTAGTAGTGTATAATGGTACTTTTCGTGCTAGCAGCCATGGCACCATTAAAGTTTTAAAATCTATGTTTTAGCTAGCTAAAAGTTCTCCTAGCTCAACTATAGCTAAGGTGTCTGAATTCTCCAGCCAGTAGACTCAGACAAACTTTAACGAGTCTTTTAGCTAGACCATCCTATCACTAGCAGCTCAATTTAGACAGTTAAAGTTTAGTTGAGGATCCAAACATTCCTTTGATCTCTCTATTCTTCTTTCACGCCTGATTTGACTTCTCCTACCAAAAATTCATTTTTCATCTCCTCTCAAACATAGCACCACGTCAGACTGACATCACTTTCAAACCAAAAAAAAATCACACAATATGTTAGCTATGCCAAAGAAAAATCAGACTATTTTTCTTAAAAAAATGTAGAAATAAACTTTTTAAAAAATATTCAAATAATTTTATAAAAAAACATGCAAATAAAAATCTTAAAGTCTGATTTAATCTTAGAAAATTTGTTTTACCTTTGAGAAAATATGAAACTATTTTTTTTCTATAATCATGCTCTATATTAACTCCGCCTATGTTGTCTCAACATAGCAGGTCCCAAGCACTGGTAAAGGAGGAGGGTTGTGATAGGCGTGGCGAACCAACGTTAAATTTAGCCATTCTAATGGAGATGAAACCCAAAAGAAAACCGTTGGGGCGTAACCCTCTTAGCGACGCGCCATATCGGAACCCGGGTATGGTGTTAACTGAGCAAGGGCCGGGTCATCACCCC